GTCATACAACATCAGACTGTCATACAACATCAGACTGTCATACAACAACAGAGTGACTTCAGTCAGAGGCTTCTTCAGATCTGCTGTAGGACAGACGCTACAAGAGATCCTTCCTGCCCACAGCCATCAGCATCTAGAACAACTCTTTAATGAAACCAGGATGATGAGTAACCACAGCATTAACTTTCCCTCTGGGATTAATAAAGTATTTTTGAATTGAATTGAATTGAACAGTAGCTAAAAGTTTAAGTGGCGGAATGACAGCTGACACTGTGAAAGGGAAGTAAATCAGAAGTAATTAGTAAAACAAGAGAGGAGGAGAAATGATGTTTTTACTTGAAACTGTTCGGGAGTTTCCAGGCGGCTGAAGTTTGGGCAGGCAGCGATTCTCTCCTCTAGCGTTTGAAGAAAAACTCTCTGGAAGTCCAACATCTCTGGCAAACTCCCGAACAACGCCTCCATCTGAGGCACAAACAACAGTCACACAAAATAACAATTCCAACATGTGAAAAACAAAGTTTGCACTATTTTTCTTCTGTTCGCACCTCGTCTTTACTGAGGAAAGTCTCGCTCTGCAGCGGAGTCAGGTAGATGTCCAACAAACAGACCAGATCCTGAAGGAACAAAAAACACGACACACACGATTTAAGGTAAACAGTGGGATAAAACACTCAAGTTGGTATAGATAGTGATAGACAGTATATATGGAAAGTATTCTTCTTTCAGCTTTTCCCTCTTCAGGTCTCCACAGGGAGTCCTCCTCCATCTCACTCTGTCCTCTGTGTCCTCTGTCCTCACTCCAACTACCTCCATGTCCTCTCTAACTGCATCCATACATCTCCTCTTTGTCTTTTTCCTGCAGCTGCATTTCTAACATCCTTCTACCAATACACCCACTGTCCCTCCTCTGGACATGTCCCAACCACTGTCCCTCCTCTGGACATGTCCCAACCACTGTCCCCCCTCTGGACATGTCCAAACCACTGTCCCTCCTCTGGACATGTCCAAACCACTGTCCCTCCTCTGGACATGTCCAAACCACTGTCCCTCCTCTGGACATGTCCAAACCACTGTCTCCGTATCAAGGTTTGTGGAGAATTTAATAATAACAGCTAGGTGACAACTTGGACATTCAACGGGGAGCAGACCTGGGAATCAAACGGGCGCACAGAGCACTAGGTCCCCGGCCACCAACCGGAGCACCAGTCCACTCCATAGTAGTAGATCTCATTCCTGATCTTCTCCATCCTTGTCTCTCCTAAGGAGAACCTCAACATCTTCATTTCTTCACTTCCAGTTCTGTCTCCTGTCTTTTTGTCCATGTCTCTGTCTCCAGACCATACAACATAGCTGGTCTCACCACTGTCTTTAAACTTTTCCTTTGACCTTTGCTGACATGCTTTTGTCTCAAATCACTCCTGAAACTTTTCTCCATCACTCCATCCTGCCTGGACTCTCTTCTTCACCTCTTCACCACACTCCCCATGTTCCTGGACAGTGGACCCCAAGTCCTTGAAGTCCTGCACCTTTGTGACCTCTGCTCCTTGTAGCCTCACTGTTCCACCTCCTCCCTCTCATTCACACACATGGACTCTGTCTTACTACGGCTGACTTTCATTCCTCTTCTTTCAAGTGCATACCTCCACCTCTCCAAGTTCTCTTCCACCTGTTCCCTGTACTCACCACAGATCACGTCATCTGCAAACATCATCGTCCACGGGGATTCCTGCCTGACCTCATCTGTTAGTCGGTCCATCACCAGATTAATTTATTTTAAACATGTACCAAATACCATACTTATTTTCTTCTGTAAATTTATCATCAGAAACTTTCAATTTTTTCATCTTACATTAATTAACGTTAAATTGTAGCTATATATACCAGTATGTATTTATCTAAATAAATTTTAAAGTTTGTGTTGATTCTTAAACTGAAATATTTTAAACTAGCACGATAAATTGTTACAAACGTTGGCCTCAAGTCTGTTTTTGTGTTTTGTAGTTAAAGGCAGCCTTGAGTGGTTCTGGTTCTAGCTGCAATAGTTTTATCAGTCGGCAGGATTTTGACCTTCACGTAGGATTTCTCCGTGTCGACCAACTCTTCGATCACTTTCCGTAGACGCTGACAGTCGCTTAGATGGGTGGGGCTTGTAAGCTGAAGACTGGCCTCTCCGCAGTACGGGTTTTTGGGGGTGTCACAATCAGAAACTCTGGTTTCTGCAAAGGCCTGATACAGTGGGAAAACCTGGTCCACATTCTGAAAGGAGAACACAGGAACTGAAGTTTAAAACCAGATTCACATGTCACATGGAAAAAACTACCAATAAGACACCCGGAAACACATCTGGTAAAACTCTTGGAAACACATCCGGTAAAACACCCGGAAACACATCAGGTAAAACTCTTGGAAACACATC